GCTAATAGAAAGAAGATTGCAAGAGAGATTCGGAACATGTAAAACATATCTTAATTCGAGGGATAAACTGAGTGATTTTGTTCCAATTCCAGCAATTGTTGAGAAAGATCGATCTAAAATTCTTACTTTAAAATTTTCAGAACATGGTGAGAGTGTGACAATTTCTCACACCCGGTCATATGATCAATGGCCCCCGTGTCAATTATCCAATGTTCAACGTTATACCTGCTAGTCTAGTTAATGTTGTTATATAATTATCTCGTTGAGCTAATAAACTAGAGGATGACGTAGGATTTGAAGCTAGAGTAATTAGTTTATATAACTGCTCGAGTTCGGCTTTTGTAAGAGTAAATGAAATATTTTCGGGCTACATAGTGGAAGAAAACTCGGTGGTACTCTGGAAATTGGAAGCATCATGTGCCTTAGATTCTTCACGATAGGTTTGATTTGGCCGTCCATTATCACGGGGTCAATGGCTTTCTTTTGGGGGTCGTTTTTTCTATATTTTTCAGCATCATTGGTTGACTACCAGTCAATTCGAACAAACATATCTATCTCTGTCCGTACCCGCTTCAGTATATTGTAATACTGGGTGACTTTCTTGATCTCTTTGGCGGCTTTCACGAGCTTCTTTCCTAAGTTCAAAGAGTTCGGCAAAGTTCTCCATATCAGAGAAGGCCACGGCAAGAGCATCACATAGTTCCTTTGTGGTAGAGTAATGCAAATAGAAATAGGATTCTTTGATATCCTCTTCCATAGAATTAATAATCCACGCCATCACCATTGAATTCTGGGCATCTCATGTTGCATGAGTAGGATCATTTTCATCAGGCTTGGTTGTCGTTCCAGTTACATATCCAAGAAACCCAAGTCCATGAATAACCAAAAGGGCAGATCGAGACCACTGGAGAATGTTTTTACTATTCAACCAAGTGGTGGTAATTTGTAGGGAAGAATGTTCCTAGTGAGTGCTTGTGGGGAGAAGAGTATTGGTTGTAGTGGGTACACTTGTAGTGACCGGTTCACAGATTCATAGAGCCCCCCTGAATCTGTATTCTGCGAGCATCAGTCATGGCATTTTGTATTCTCAATCAATCCTTGGCTATGATACCATAAAACTGGGGAAGGATAACGGAATGAAGAGAACACTGCAAGGAAGGAATTATTTCTCTTATATTTAAACTCATCAGATTACAAGTATTTTTATAGCTAGGATGTACATCTGCAATCCTTTATTTAGGGGTAGCTAACCACAATTTGAAATTGAAATTTAGATAATAAAACAAACTCAATCCTAATGATAAGGAGATCAAATCTGTTCAACAAATCAGCCCTTAATTTTCAAGATCTTCAACAATGACAAGATTGAAAATTTGAGAATTTGACACTCCTTTCTTTTTATTCTTATAATGCAAATTCACGCAATGTTTATTTGGGTGCTCTGAGTGCAAATTTAGGGAGGGGAAAATATAACGGGATAACTAGCCTGTATAGCCCGTAGGACATTAATTCTTAACCATTGAACTGTACAGAGTCTTTGCATGTACAATCTCATGCATTCAATTGCATCAGTTTGTTATAGTCATGCAAAATCCAAATTTCCACTTTTAGGCATAGTTAGAGGGTGTTTGGCACCCATTTTTAAGGAAAAATGAATTTTAGAATCGTAGAATGATGGAGAATGTGTGGATGAAAAATAAGGAAAGATTTTTTACTTACATGTAATATTATTTTTATGAGGAATGTGTGGTTGAAAAAAAGCGAGAGAAAAATGCATTTTGAGAAAAATGGGAATCAAACGGGGCCTTATTGAACTTGTAATGCTTAATCTTGGTTTGTTGTTTAATTTATATTACTAAATGTTTAAGCAAGGGACAAAATAACACTCACACCAACTTCTGTAATGACAAGCTTTTGCTCCTAAATTGACTGTGCATCCATTATTGCATAATATTTATAGAACAATGCATTGCATTTAGTCTTCTTAGTTATCCCAAATTGCCATTCATCTTCTTGAAACAAGTTTGGTTGTGCTTAAAGGTTAGAAAGCATGTTAAGACAATTTACTTTCTAGAAAAATAAGTTTTGTCAGCAAAGTAAGCCCCTATTTGACAACCCTTAAAACAAAACTCTTTTTTATTTTTTTGTGCCTCCAAACTCATTTTCAACCACACATTCACACAATAAAATATTTTTTACATGAACCCAAAACTTTCTCCTACTTTTAAGCTACACATTCTTAAAAAAAATCACTATTCCAAACGTCATTTTCCTTTGAAAAAAAAAAACTCATTTTAATGGTTGTCAAGCGGGGGCCAACTTTGAATCATATTTGAAGAAAACAAGCAACATAAAAGTAGTTCTAATTTCAACCAAACTTGTTATTTATCCTAATTATTTGGAACTTTTGGTTCTTCTGTATCCTAATTATTACAGAAATGGAATCATATTGCATACAAGACACTTTTCATCCCTTAAGGTCCATGTACGATATATACCAATGTTCCTCTCGTGACATGACATGACTTTTCCATAGAAACCTCTTGCTGCAAATTGCTATATCTTGCGAAGCTGAAGTTGTGTTTATTAAGTACACATAGATTACTTGCAAATTGCGAGTTATTGTTTTCTGAGGTAAGACATGTTCATTCTATATCGTGAGAAACTTTAACAAACCATTTCGTTTTACAGTCTTTCTACAGATCATGACATGTCCAGAGTAAATGGTTCGACATATTTATTAAATCAAACGGTTAAAAGTACCAGAATCACAAGCATTAACAACCAAAGAAATTTCAGCTAGAGAAAACCATTTGCACAGCATTAGTACTAGTTTACATGGCTGTACATATCTGAAGATTCTAAAGGTGTTCCATCTGTCGAACCAAAATTGGGTGGTTTTGATGCTTTTTCGACATTCATCTTGTTGCACAACTGTGAAATGTTATTGATTGAAGCCTATTCTTTTGAATTTTTCAGCAGAATCGATATGTATGGAGCTGTCATCTGGCTAACTAATGTAGTCGTAACCTGTTACAGCGACGAAATATAATGTTACCAGGGTTAATGTGGACAGAAAGTAGAAAAGTGGGCTTAGAGAGCAATGGCTACCCATCAGACGTGGATATCTTGAAGAGAGAATTACCCCAGTTTGATTCCATTTGCTGGTGGATCATTCTTCTCTATTTGTGGCTGGCTTAGCTGCAAATTGACAGGTATGGGTAAATCATAACCATGACTGATTCCACGTGTTATGTGTGGAACCCTGTTTGCTGTGTTTGTACCTCCTGAGCCATAAACCTGGTCAAAACTTATTATTAAGTTCAGCCTGGAAATTATTTTGCCTATGTAGCCAAATATGCCAGAATAGTGCTTTTTTTATTTGTAAAAATCGTCAGTCTTTCAATACCTTTACCTGCAAGCCTGCATTTTCTTGAGAGACAAGGCTTACCTTCTTATACAGCTCTATGTTTTCTTGATGCATGAGATTTCCCTGCTACAAGTTTGATTAAGACATTCCTGAATTTAAACATGAATGGAATACAAAAATTGGAATATCTAACTGTGTTTCCAATAGGACCTTGTGGTTTAACTCTTCGATTTCATCTTTTAAAATTTGCTCCTGCAAGGGAAGGCAATTATTGTGAATTTTCATATACTTAATATGTCAGAAGCCACAGAACTACTAATTAACTATTATTTTAGGCAGAACCCTCTTGACCTTTTTCATTCGGATGCTTTTCAAACTCATTTCAAGTTGATTTTCCAGATTTTGTAGATCTATAATTCCCAATCCAGAAAGTTCTTCTCCCAAAAGTTTCCTGCATATATCATGACAGAGTTATATGGTATGTTCTTGGCCTGTATGAGCGTTCCTCAACTATCTATATGAAATTTTCTGATTTCTGAAGAATTACTTGGAAGTATCTCCATAACTATTCTCTTAATTTATCCAACATGTGTTTATCTATTTAATTTAATCACCTTATAGCCATGGACACCTAGCTAATTAGACAAAGTAAAAATACGGAGTATTTTGGAGGCGGAGAGAGTGTGTCAGATCCTAAACCTTCCTAGTGAGAGATGCCTTTTTATTCCTTTCACTATTTCTTTGTCAATTTTATTCACTTTAGAGTTGCTAACATGGTATTAGAGCGAAAATATCTGCTGTTTGTCAAGGTGTTTGGCCATATACTGATGCTTGGGGTCATTGCATAAATGCAATCGAACTTGTGGCATGTATGATATGTGAAACATATGAAATTGCGATGACACTTTATCCTACACTACTTTGGGCCTGGTACTACCTCTTCCTTTATTTCTCTCCATCTAGGTCCTGTTCGTCACTGAGATAGACATTATCGTTTATATTTCTACTGTTATCTCTTCAGTCTTTGCCTTCATCTATTTAATCTTCTACTATGATACTGGGTGCTATTTGTTACTTTAGAAACAAACATACCTGTAACTTTCTTGCAAGTACTGCAGCTGTCTTCTCAGGCTTTCTGCTTCCTTTTTCCAGAACTAGGAAGACGTTTGGCAAAATGATTAGTTTCCTCGTGTATAAAATGCAGAATTACATGGTTAAATCGAAGTCAAGAGTTACTGATATTTTGGGGTCCAAAACAAGACCAATAATGATAGGATCTTATAACATAGCTTATCTGGAACTTTTTTTTTGTAGTTATAATCATCTTTATATTCATCAAACTGGTTTATATCCAGTTTTTGGTAAACCAAAATTTCTTCAAAGAAAGAAACTGCAGGCAAGCAGTATACAGAGGAAGAAGAAAGAAACGGAAGAAGCAGCTAACTACCCAGGATTTTATCTACATAGAATTATAGGGTCCCAAAACATCAAGAAGAATAACGGGGTATTAATCCTCGCCACACGGTTTTCTAAGCCTTCTAAAATTACTTGCATAGTTAAGACTAGATTGAGTTATTGATTCCTTAGACTAGCGTGCAGACGAAAATTTGAAATCCTAATGAATGAAATGTTGACAAATGTATTCGTTTTTTGCCAACATAGTGTACTTCTTTTCAAAGTTTTAAGTTTTTACTTATTTTATTAGTTCCATTAAAAGAAAACTGAAGCTCAATCCCTGCCCACCCCCAAAAGCGGATGAACCATATAGCCAAGAGAAACTTGTCCATCGTCGGTGGTATAAGAGCTATGGCAGACGATCAGAGTAAGACTTATGAGGCAATGTTTGAGCGATTGAGACTAACTTGGAACAAATAGGCAATCAACTCAAGGACATTTTGATTGTCTTGAATCTTAGAGGTGGTAATGCTAGGCAACAACCATTCATCGACCCTTTTTAGATTGCTGACATTGTAAAACCGGCCCCAGTTCTTTATCATGGTTATCATGATGACTATGATAGTTACAGAGTCAAGGTAGATATTCCTGTTTCTAGTGGGAGTCTAGGTGACTTGGTGTAGAGGCCTTTCTTGAATGGTTGAATAAGGCAAAAAGGTTTTTCAAGATCATAGAGGTCAACGAAAATGTAAGGTTGCAATTATTGCGTAAAACTTAAGGGAGGAGAAAGTGTCCTGTGGCATTCGTGATGAATGTTATAGGCTGGGACAACCGCACATAAGGGACTAGATCATGATGAAAGAATTGTTTTATCGATTTCTTCCTAGAAACTATGTACTGGCTTTGTACTGATAGTTTGGACTGTAGGCAAGGAAATTATTCAGTGGCTATAGATCAATGATCATCAGATCGCATGGTATATAATGGGATTAAAGTATGATGTTCTGGAGAAGATGGGAGTTTAGCCCATTTATTCTTGATAAACGTCAAGGAGATGGTGTTTCAAGCCGAATCAGTACTTGCGCAACAGTTATTGCCCTCCATTTTTGAGATATTCAGATGATACAGTTTGAAGGGCACCGGAAAGGTCATGTTTATCTCAGACCACGACTAAACCACCTGTGATCAGCAATGTAGTAGAACCAAAATGGGCTATAATCGATGAAAATTCGGGTGGTAGGGTTGCAGATAATCCATATGTGAGAGTGTCCTGAACGAAGACCGGAACATGTAGATACAGTTAATGATGAGGATGGGGATCAAGAATATGTCGAAGAGGAGGGGAATAAAGAGTACACACTTGTGTGTATTGTGCAAAAAATCTTATGCTCGTGCAAGCACGAAGAATATGTCGAAGAGGAGGGGAATAAATAGTACACACTTATGGAAATATCTTTTAGGCCAAGTGCCAAGCTAGTGATGCTTTGTAGTCCGATCATAGACAATTGCAATTGTAAGAATCTAATCATCAAGAAATTGGTGGATTATCCAAAGCTGCCAACCGAACTACATCTAGCTCCTTATCAGGTTGGTTGGATTAAAAGGGGACATCTATTCAGGTGTCTAGAATTTATAAAATACCTTTGTTCATGGGACCTTTAACAAATCAGAAGTTATTTGTGATGTTGAGATGGATGCATGTCATATTCTATTAGGCAGAATGTAACAATTTGATGTGGATGCCATATTTAGGGGTAGAGAGGATACCTACATGTTTCAGTGGAAGGATAAAAAGATTACAGTTGCACTAACAAGGCGTCCTGGCTATTGCAAATTCAGATAGTGAGTTTTCCTCCGATATAAGAGTTTGGAGGAACAATTATGAGAGATTGTAGCAGTCGAACAACTAGTTGAACAACATGTGGAGGTAATTGAAAAGGTAAAGAAAAAGTTGGAAGCCTTTAATACAAAGTAAAAAGTTTGTATCCTGACGTCACCTCAAGGTTGAGTTGTGTTCCAAAGTAACAGGGAATGATGCAAAGCAGTTAGAAGACAAAATTATAAATCAATTAGAAAAGATAAGAATTTAGAATGATCTACGAAAATGCAAAGAACTTTTAGATTGGATGTTTGATTTTTGAGAGCAAGTATAATCTGGAAATGTTTTTCTTTTGGGCATTTTTGTTGGGTGAGGATTGGCCTTAGACCAACATCGTCAAACTTTCGAGATCAAATTTCATCGTCTATGGATCTGTTATAGCGTTTTTCTGTTTGAGTTTTTCTGTTTGAGTTTTTTATCTGAAAATATTATTTTATGTGGAATTTTATTTTATTTTATTTTTTTCACGTATCAGACAAGCATCAATAAAATTTTAGTGTGGTTCTAGCTCCGCTTCTGTCCTTGGTCCAAAGCTAAAGTAGTGGCAACATCTATGGGTGGCCAACTTTTAATTGTGTCCCTATGCAAAGCAGAACTTTGATTTGTTTAGAACTTGTGTTATCATTACTTAATAGATAGACCACAACTCATATAGCTACGATCCGTCTATTTGAAAAATCTTTGTTTCTCATCGTAGTTTTTCATCTGAACTTTTATTAACTAATCTAATCACTCCAAGATTTCATCTCTTATCTAATGTTTAAACAGGTTTAATCAAGTACCAATGCATTTTTCCCCTCTGAGAGTAGGTAAACCTTGAAGAGCTTTATGGCATAAGCCTCAAAATGATCAGCCTCTTGGCTTATGTCATGATACTTACCAAACAAACGTAAACAAAACATTAAAAAATAGAAAGTAGCCCAAAAGTATAAGGAATAAAATTTCCAAAAAATGCAAGATAAACGAGCATAACAATTTAATTATTGTGAGGCTTAGGCTAAGCTTGTAAAACCATTGTGATTTGTGTTATTCTGAACACCGTTATCTATCATTGACCCTTGCGCTAACTTGATGTTCATGCTTACTAGCATGGCCTCCTTTCTAAAGATGTCTTCATAGAATAAGAAGAAGGGTGTTCTTCCTTAATTTCTCTCGCCTATTTTCTTGAAGTTGAACTTGTTCCAACCCCAATGAGTATGTTTAACAAAATGTGCCTACTCATCAAAACAAATATGGTAACACGCTAAAGAAGTCCTTCCTCCTTTATTTCTTGATGAATCTCATAAAATTATTGATGCTAGAACATCAATCGATCCTAAACAGTTTAAAGTACTAGGCTTTCTAATATTCCTAATTATAATAAACTATCAAAATCCATTCATTGTATTGCAACCATTCATCATTGATAGTAAATCGGGTCTTGTACTACTTGAAAGGAAGGCTCTATTGTGGCCTTCTCATTCGGCAAAGGTCGCCATTTATGCTCCTTGCATTTACAGACACTGACTAGGCTGAAACCAAGGTTATCGCACTTCAATGTTGGCCTACAATGTTTCTTGAGGTGCCAACTCTATCGATTAGAGTTTTAAGTAGCAAAATCGCGTTGTTTGGTCCTCCAAGAGAACAGAAAATTGTACTTTTTCCTCTATCGCTGTCGAAGTCAATCGATAAGCAACTAACGCTTTCAAGTCATAGTTCCCTCCATCCGCGTTGTTTAATGCAACAATATAGGAGCTACCCATTTAAGTGCTAACCCTGCTTTCCACTCTTGCACGAAGCATGTTGCCATCGACCTCCATTTTATCCCCGACCAATTCTCTAATGTACAAGGCAGAGCTTGTTGATTCACGGAGCTGCTAGCATGTAAACAATTTCTTTTAAGGTCTTTTGCAAAGAACAGTTCATATTAATTTCAGGTAATGGGGTTTTTTGGTTCAAATTACAAATTAGCGTTTAGCCTCTGTTCGGTGGCAATTTTGCATCTCAAAGAATCAATTTTTTGTTTGTTATTTCACTATTTCAAACTTCATTTTGGACTTTTTCACTCACAGATGGGATTTACATTTACTATTTTATCTAATAATCAAAAAATCAATTCTCATAATTAATACTGAACAAGCCCTAAATTTTAAAAAGAATTCAGATGATCCTTAAAAAAACAAATAGAAAAGAAAAATCGCTCTTCAAATTCTTAGTATAGCAGTAACTTTGTATCCATATAATTCAGGTTAGGTTTATTGTTAGATAAATTAGATGAATTGAATTATTATGAAATAGGGTAACTACACGTCTACCTATAGTAGTCCTAGCTCAAATTGGCATCATCCCTCCAAGGGCGAAGCCAGGGGGAGCAAAAAATGCAAAAAATACTGTTTATACTGGGTTGATATATTGAAAAAATAAATAAATAAATAAATTTCCACTAAAAATTAGAATTTAATCCCAAAAAAAAAAAAAAAAAAATTCCTCTTGAAAATTTATTGGGCCGGGGGTAAGGTCTGGGCTCCCTCCCTGCGTCCCTCAAGCCAACTGCAGCTCTGGTGCTGCATGGTCAAGTTGTCTTCATTCCCGGGTTTCTTTCTTTTACAAAACCCATTGATGATTTGATATATTATACTGTTCATCCACAATTACTAAAACCTGATTTTTGGGGGGTTTAATTATTACAATTTCTTTTCTAGTTCCAATCGACACCAAACACAATGTGTAGGGTTATTCCAAAGTTGCTTATCTACGCAACATAGCCTTCTATTTTATCTTTACTTTTTCCCTTTTATCTCTTCCTATTAATTTTCTTTATTTTTTTTAATGAAAATTAATTGTGTTCACCTCTTTTCCTTTAAAATAATGTTTCAAATCACTTGCACGTTCTATTTTAGAAGTGATTCCAGTCACTAAACTAGTTTCGCAACTATAATGAAAGTTTAAAGACCAACTTGATAATTGAGCAATATAGTAAATAACGGTAAAATTTTAATTAAGGCCATTTTGATTTTCATTCTTTGACTACAAAAATAAAAAATATGATCATTTTCTATCACATTAAGCTATCATATTTGATTTCCTATTTTTTGTATGGGTCCTGTAACGATTATATTTTTCATTCTCGTTCTTATCAAAATAGGAATCAAACGGGCCCTAAAGCTATTTTTTTGCTCCCTCATCTTTTATAGTATTGTGATCATTCACCATATTTCATAATAATAGCTAACTTCATCAGCCTACGCGAACGATAATTTTATCCACATTCTTATTGAATAGTGAATTCCTTCTACCATTTTAATGTAAAGTCATGACTAACTTGAACATCGACAATTCAAGGGAGAAATTTTCAGTGTTCTTTTTGCAGGTAAACAGGGATCACGGCAATGAGCATGTTACTTATTTTGAAAGTGAATTATTAAGGGCTTGTTTGAGCCACATTATTTTTAAAAAAAAATATTCTTCAACAGTTATTTGACATCATTTTAAACACACATTTTTCAATAAAATAATATTACACGAAAATCTAAAACTTTTTTTTCTTTTTTAAGCACACTTTTTCTATTGATTTGACATGAATAATATATTTTTTCCCTAGAATGTGGCTCAAACATGAGCTAAGTGTAAAAATAAGCAAGTTACTAGACTGTTCACTTAGAATGTAGGTATATGGAACAAAAGGTAGATAGCAAAGTTTCGATTATCAAATATTAGCACGTAGCAATATAAACAGATGAGTTCTCAATCAATATATGAATAACAATATTACTGTTTTTGTAGACAGAAGAATCATTAAAGAAACTAACTAAAAAGAAGAATTACATGTACTAATCAAGTATTATTCCCCATTTAATGCCACTGAGAATTGTTTATGTTAGAATTCTCATGCAGGGAAAGAAAAAATGAAGAAATGAAATAAGTAATTAAGTGAAAGTACCTTGATCTCTGAAGTAGGATTCACCAGTTGGTAATGCTCCTCTTTTGCTTTGTTGTATCTTTCAATTAAAGATTTCATGCTGATAAGAGGAGATTAGGAACAGATTCTTAGAAAATAATTCAGAAAAAAAAAATAGAAAGAGGAAAAAATTGTACAAAGTTTTGCAGACGAGAACGAAAGAAAAGAAAACTTGAGAGAATGCACTCTACAAGGCCTATCACTCTCGATAAGACATTGGGGCTGTAATGACTCTAATGGCATTTCACATCGACTTATCTTGTGACATTATAAGCATAAAGCACTTTGGGCACCATCTCTTTACAAACCAGTTTAAAGAATGGATTCCACCCAAAGTGGTGGTTACAATTTAAATTAGAACAACCATTCCTTCGTGGGATGTAGCTCAGAAAGATGGGTGGTTGTGGACGTCGTTTATGAAGAGAAGGGTAATATAATGACTCTAATTTTATCTCATTACGCTCGTGGAATGCTTATCTTGTGTCTTTATAAACACTTTGGACGTCCTTTCCTTAAAAGCCAATTTCAAGTGAGAAATTAGTCGAAGTGTTTTTATTTTATTTAAGCCTAGTTAGTTGTTACACATACTCATGTTGACTCTACATGGAAAACCTGTTAATAGGCCTTTAAATTCACAATAATCAAAACTAGATTATAGCCCTTATTTGTGCCCATTTTTTCAAAACTCATTTTTAATCATACATTTTTAACAAATAATTTTAAATGTAATTACTTTTTATTCACACATTCTCCAAAAAATCACTATTGAGATACATTTTGTTTCCCCCAAATTTGGGCTCAAACAAGGGTATAACCTTGTTATATATGAAATTTATTAGAAAAAAGGATTTTTAAAAGAATACCCCAATATACATGGACAATTTTTTTATTTTTTTATTTTTTATTTTTGGTTCAATCACTTTTATATAAATGAGCGAAAAAAAATCCTCACATTTTATTAAAAAAAATAATTGTACTTCCAATCTTTTATTGAATAGAACTTTTAGAGAAGACATCAAATTCCTTTCAGCAGAAAAATTAAGAACCCATAAAATCAAGATTTACATGTGTTATATGGTTCCGAGACTTATAGAAAATCGTAGAGAATTTTTTGATATAACAAAAGCATCAAATACAGTCTCATCAAAAGAACAGCTGGCAAAATGGTAAAAGAACCGAAAGAACACAGTCATTTCTTTATTCTTGATTGAGCAATAATAAAGTGATTTTTCAGAAAAAATTACAAAGGCTATGTCAGCAAAACAAGGATTTTCAAGGAGAGAAATAAATGAAATTTGATCACTTGGAATGGAAGGCAAGGCAACTAAATCTTATGCACGAAAAATTAGAAAATGAGAGTAGATCATAGTAAAGCAGTCAAATTCATGCATAACGCGAAAGAGATAAAAATTGAAGAGAGTCATGAGGAAAAAGAGAAGTCCAATGAAAAGGAGAATACGAATTTGGAGTTATCAAAGGAAACTTCGTAGATTCTCGAAAATAAGCTTGAGAAAAAGGGAATTGAAATTAATCAAAAGGAATTGCAGATTTGTCATCAGGAAAATTCCATTTGTACATAATGGGAGTACAATGGTTTCTCCCCTCACAATGTATGGCGGGCCCCATGTGAATTTAAAAATGTCGGCACGTGTTCCCCACCCCTGTTGTGAGTAGTAGGTAAAAGATTCGGTAAAAAAGTCGATACGTGCAGTGTTGTCATTGTGATAAAATTGAAATAGAACATATAAAGCAAGAGTTCGAGTTTGAAGAATTTTTTTGCTCAAGTGCCTAGATTGAAGACAATCCCATCACTTGCCACAATAAGAACATGAATTTACATAGAGCTCATCCTCCTTAAAGAGAAGAAAGATTAAGCCTCTTTTGGTGGATATTAAAATTAGACTTTTGACAATTTTTTTATAAAAATGATGTAATGTTTAGTTGAAAAGTTGTGGATCTCATAAAATATATGGTTAAAATTAGTTGTGGGCTTTGGTTTTGAGTGAATTACCCAAATGGCCACTGAACTCTAAAAATCATTCAATTCATTACTGAATTTTGTAAAATGTTTCCACGAGATCACTGAACTTTAAAACCTACCTAATTCATCACTGAACTTTGCAAAAGGTTTTCCAAGGGTGTGAAAATCTTTTGTAAAGTTCAGTGATGAATTGAGTAATTTTTAAAGTTCGGTGATGAATTGAGTGATTTTTAAAATTCAGTAGCCATTTGGATAATACACTCCTTTGGTTTAGAAGTCTAGTCTACATGGAGTTATTAAAAATAATCTACAAATATTAATAATAATAATCATCTAGACTCGTGAACATAAACTTTTGACAAGATTCATGAACTGTGGAACTCAATAATGCCTACATGAATTTATTATTTTGATGAACTTAAGAATACACATTCACCATCTAATGATTATGTCTAGAATGCATGAAAAATTTATATGCGTGTGATGCATACGCATTAAATCGAATTATCCTATTAGAAATATAAATAGGAGCCCAAATTTATCATCTCAAACTCATTGTCCCATTAGTTGTCCTTTCAATAGATTTTTGATAGATTGATCAAATCACCTCTTCTTAGCATGCACGTCTTTATCATCTTCATAAATGCTAAGAAGAGGTGATGTACCGAAGTGTTAAAACTGTATTGGAAGGACAAGAAGTTCTCGACAACATATTTAAACTTGTACAAATAGGACTTTTAGATTTGCTTGAGTGAATAAAATGAGAAACAATAATAAGAAAAAAGCAAGTTCAATAAGAAATATACGTTGTATGAGACCACGAGAGATTAAGCTTCTTCTCTTTTGGCATTTTTGTAGGTGTGACTTAAGAGTTCTTGACTTACTTGTGAGTCCACGTTCTCTTCCACGTTAACACGCAGAACTGGATTATTGACAAAAAAATTCACCACTTGAAAGAATTTGAATTTGAATATTATATTTTTATTTATTGTTTGGAATTATATTTCCTAATTAACATGATGATTTTCTATGGGTACTAATTAAAATTCATTCAGATCAATATGCTTAATGATAATACTTTTCCAAGTATATAATTTACCATATATAAGATAATAATACTGGTAAGCAAATACTAACATTTATGTATTTCCATACTACATATTTTCTTGAATCAGAATAAGGAAACATGCACACTCAATCACACACAAATATTACTGCATGGATGGATTGTCTCTTTATTTATTTGTACAGAAACGTTAGATTATTTATTTTTCAACCCTAATAAACCCTAATCTGCATAAAATCAAAGAGGAAAAATGAAGATAAACATTCTAATGTAGTAACTTATTTGCATATATAATCATAATTAAGAAATATAAGTAGATTAAACAGTATATTTATTATGAAATTAATCACCTGGTGCTGGCAAAATCATAGAGCTTTCCACTGCTAGAGAAAATAATCAATCCAACTTGTGCATCACAAAGAATCGAAAGCTCCTTGGCCTTCTTCAACAACCCACTTCTTCTCTTTGAGAAAGTGACTTGCCTACTCGTCGAATTGTCGATCCTACGGATCACAATCTTCCCTCTTCCCATTTTCCCTTTCCTTCTTGATCTGCTATACATCAGCAAACAAAGGTAGAGGGTTTTAATCAAATCCCGCTTTTAGAAATTCACAGAAAAGATAAAAAAAGAGAGAGAAGCAAAAGAGCTTACTAATTTGAGCTTTGATTGAAGACCAGTGTGTGAGAGAGAAAATATAGAGAAGAGAGAGAAAACTTTTGGGATGTCTTTTTTGTAGCTGGAAGTGTTATTGAAGCAATCCTTAGCTTTAGTCAGAAAGCGGTTTTCAAAACATGGAGCGGTTTAGTGGTTTCACTGAAAAATAATCTCGAGAGTATGATAAATACTTTATACTCGCTACTGAAATAGGCCAACTGTCAGACTAAATCAAACGAGTTGCATTGACTTGCTAAAATTCGATTTGACGGACAGATGTCGAGAGATTAGAGAGAGTACAAGAACGTGTACTCGAGAGAGTGAACGCAATGTGTACCTAGGAGGTTCAGAAACCAGTCTGATTGGAAGGAGGGTTTGTGAAAGTAGTTAAAATTATTTAGAAATTTGCTGTTTTTGTTTAGCTAATAGATCACTGACAGTTGGAGAACAGTTGTTGAACAAAAATAGTAAAATAAATAAGAATATATTTCCTTTTTCAAAAAGTGTTGTTTGAAAGAATTTTTCTACACGTACAAAAATTGGGTTAAATATTTGTTGACGGAATATGAGATGACAATTATTTGGCCGTTGATCTGAATGAATGAAATTCAAATCAAAAGCCAAAAATTCGGAAATCGGTTTTCAAAACATGGAGCGGTTTAGTGGTTTCACTGAAAAATAATCTCGAGAGTATGATAAATACTTTATACTCGCTACTGAAATAGGCCAACTGTCAGACTGAATCAAACGAGTTGCATTGACTTGCTAAAATTCGATTTTGATGGACAGATGTCGAGAGATTAGAGAGAGTACAAGAACGTGTACTCGAGAGAGTGAACGCAATGTGTACCTAGGAGGTTCAGAAACCAGTCTGATTGGAAGGAGGGTTTGTGAAAGTCGTTAAAATTATTTAGAAATTTGCTGTTTTTGTTTAGCTAATAGATCACTGACAGTTGGAGAACAGTTGTTGAACAAAAATAGTAAAATAAATAAGAATAAATTTCCTTTTTCAAAAAGTGTTGCTTGAAAGAATTTTTCTACTCATACAAAAATTGAGTTAAATATTTGTTGACGGAATATGAGATGACAATTATTTGGCCGTTGATCTGAATGAATGAAATTCAAATCAAAAGCCAAAAAATTGTCACCTCATTTCTGCGACAAATTTGTACAAATTTTCTGTACATGTAGCAGGCTTTTACTTGAAATCTTGATTACCTTCCTATTCAATCTTTAATTATATATAGCATTTTCAAAATAATTGTTACTTTTTCTACGCATTAGAATATTTTATTAGTTTTCGAAATACGGTAACCATTCTTACAAAATTCATTTTTTCTCATACACATTTTCAATTAACGTATTCTTCAAAAAATTACTATTCAAAAACGCATTCTTTCTTAAAAAGGGGAAAAGGGGGCCTGTAACTTTCATGAAGATAAAGTGGAGTGTAACAGAGTTTCATTGTGGAATAATAATCTTGTAACAATTTTTGTTGACTGAAAACATTTTCAGAAAGATTCTTATTACACTTAGGTGATAAATATAATTTTTTTTTTCCATAAACGGTAGATTCAATTAGACCAACTTAAAAGTTTAAACTGGAACGAAACTTCCAATCATGCTACTTGTACTTGTACGATATATTTTACAACTTGGTTTACAATGTATGAATTGGCAAACATTACACCCATTTATTTGAAAAACTGTTTTTAAAATCAATGGTCAAGATTTTTCAACATACTTGTTGTCAATCAAGTTGTGCAAATATATTGTACAAGTGGCTTTATTTTTCTCCATTATGAGCCTACTGAAATTCGAACTAAATTAGTTGATTCTCTTTCGACTTGTAATATTTGTCACGAAACGGTTGATCCAAATTCATTTGTATCAAAAGGGTTGATCCAAATCTATTTGTATAAAGATTAAAAAAAAAATTGCAATAATTTCACTTATTAGGTGATTTTATTGAGATAATAGAGAAACGGTAAAAAAAATTCTGTTTTTCCATTTTAAGCTCATGTTTGGTGTAAATTAGAATCAAATTTTTAGCGGATTTTGATAAAAAGTGGTAAAATACGTGATTGAAAAAGTTGTGAAACTTGTCAAATGTGAAAATAAAATTAATTATTAACATATAGAGTGTAATTTGTTATTTTCAATTAGGGATATTTGGGTCGGTTTAACTATTTATAATACAAATCTGTAAACATTTCTATCTTTCCTTCAAATTGTAATTTTTTTTTTTAAATATCAATTAGTGAAATACAATATGCAAAATATAAACTTGTAAATTAAGGCATGTAATTAATATCTCTGAATGATTTAAAAAATATATATTAAATAATAATTAATTCTTCAAATAGGATAGCTTCAACTTTCCAGACGTCAGTGATGAAGATTTCAAGTGTACCAAAGAAAATGACTGCTCTATATATTTTAATCCTAAATTAATTGCTTCAACATTTTCCTTAGCATTTAAAATGTTCGAGATCTACACTATATTGAATATTGCAATTGGGCTTCAATCTTGATAGCGCATTTCATCTACCATATAAAAAATTAATTTTGGTGAACGTATCAAGGACGTTGTGCGTACTGATTTGTACATTGATGCATTTATAAGGGTTAATTATGACAATAGTCACTGAACTTTGCAAAAGGTTTTTAAGGGATTACTAAACTTTAAAAATCACTTAAATGGTCACTGAATCTTGCAAAAGGTTTTCCAGAAGTCACTGAATTTTAAAAATCACATAAATAGTCACTGAACTTTGCAAAAAAATTCCCAGAAGTCACTGAACTTTCCAACCTCTAGACCACCTTAGAGCCACCACTTATGGACCACCAAAATTCACTCTCCGGCCACCTTGGCCGTCGGACCAACCTACCATCTTGAAGCCCTCGCTTCCCTCTTCGCAACCCACCCAAACTTCGGCCATAACACTAATCGATTTGGCCGAAAATTCTAGCCAAAATGGGATGACCAAGCACAAAATTGGCCGGAAGTGTTAGAGTTACCACTTTTGGGCCACCAAAATTCTACCTTTCGGCAACCTTGGCCGTCGGACCGATATACCACCTTGAAGCCCTCACTTCCCTCTTCACAACCTACCCAAACTCCGGCCACAACACCAACCGATTTGGTCGAAAATTCAAGCCAAAATGGGCAGCCGGAAGCACAAAAAATGGCCAGAATCTTCATTTTTTAATGTTCCAGGCTGCCCATTTTGGCTTGAATTTTCGGCCGCATCAGTTGTTGTTATGGCCAGAGCTTAGGTGGGTTGCGAAGAGGGAATCGAGGGCTTCAAAGTGGTATGTCGGTCCGGCGGCTAAGGTGGCCGGAGGGTGGATTTTGATGGTCCATAAGTGGTGGTTAAGGGGTTAGAAAGTTCAGTGATTTTTGGAAAACTTTTTGTAAAGTTCAGTGACCATTTAGGTGATTTTTAAAGTTCAGTGACTTCTAGGAAACCTTTTGTAAAGTTCAGTGACCATTTAGGTGATTTTTAAAGTTCAATAACCTCTTGAAAACCTTTTACAAAGTTCAGTGACTATTGGCATAATTAACCCCATTTATAAAGCATTAAAGCATCTCACCTTGATTAGTATATTTGCTAGAAAGGAACTCGTCTTTTCACTCCTTGCTTGTTGAGCAGAATTTGAAATAGGAAGATAACTCGTATTTAAAAATGGGCTAGAAATGTCGTATCACGATTATAATAAAGTAGAAATGTAAAATAGGCAAAGGGAAGATACACTCCCATTTCATATTGACAAGTTTTACGTGTTTAAGAGAATGATACTGAAATGTGGATTGACGCAATTGAGTAGGTATAGAATATTTAGTGCGTAACTTGTAATATATATTTATATATAATAACACAATTGTCACATATAATGAAATTCAGAAACCTACTTGAAATCGTTACATAACCTCGCTTACTCTCCTAATTTACCTATGTGCATAATTATTATTATTATTTTTAACGTACTAAGTTCCCTTTCTTTTTTTTTTTTGTGAGAGAAAGCTACAACTATAAATTTGCAAGAATTAATGTTGGAATCCAAAGCGCATGATGTCATATCAAAATTATTATTTATATAATTTGCAAGCTGTAAATCTCTACAATTACTTTTTTTATTATAAAATATAAAATGGAATTTCTGAAAGATTCTAAATTTCACTAGATAACTAATTATTTGTCCATGCCCAATAGCATTTAGAAACGTGTAAAGGATGAATATAATGTTTTATTGATATTATATTAATAAAAAAAATTTAAAAAAAAAAAAAGAAGAGAAAAACCTAGGACTACTAAAGCGAGAGAAAAAATATAATATTGTCGCACTCTGAAAATATTATTTTCAATTTAGTCCTTTGAGGACATTTGTAAAATATAATATAGTTGTTCAAATCTTGAAAGATTACAAAATCTTTATCTTGATGGTAGTTTCAACTTTCAACTCTTCGAATATGTGTGACATAATAATAAAATAGCCTCAATTAGAAAACAACTGGATGTGCACATTATTGGTGTTGGGGTTGATGATCTGTGTGCACAATAATTACTTATTTAATTATTTTCGTTTTGATCCAATGTAAATAAGTGATTTTCTTACATCATCCCATTTGTGTTGGAAGAAAGTAGGTTTCTTGCCCTCCGGGGCACAGCTCAACTGATAAATCAATCAACATTGTCTTACTTCCAGGGGCAGGGTGGAGGTTCGAATCCTGGTGGGAACTTGCGGCCAGATTTATTTGGTATAGAGTAATCACTTTGGAGGAGAATCTCTTGTGCGCAGAAGTGTACAGGCAGTGAGGGGGAACCTGTGATCCAGTTGAAACATAACCCGTGATTTACCCCCTCCAAGGTTCTAGGGGCAAGGGTTTTGGAGGTTCAGGATTTAGTCTAGTATAAGTTTGGATACCTGGATATAAAAAAAAAAAAAAAGTAGGTTTCTTTATTTTCTATGCTTTTAACTTGTGGTGGTGGCTTTGGTTACTGAAGCTAAGGTGCCGGGTGGAACAACAAGAAACTAATGGTGGGGGTGTTGCTCTTGCTACAAAGCCCAAGAAGATGAACAAATTGTTTTTGTAAAGAACTTTTATTTTTATTATGCGTTTTTGGAATATTATATATGGGTTTTGCTTGATTTTCTTGGATCATGTTTTTGCTTTTGAAAATTTTATTGTAAGGCTTATATGAATGAGTTCTGCTTACCCTTTTTTTAATGACTTGTTCCTGAGGTAGTGGTGGTGTCGTTATTGTTAGTATGATTGCATTTGTGATTGTTAGTATGATTGCATTTGTGATTGTAGTGTTTCATCGTGGGTGAGGGTTGGGGTGACTGGATTGAGCTTGGCAGGGAAAGGTGAAATTTTTACTTATTTTATTTTATTTTTTTTCTTAAGGACAGGTAATTCGTCCTCACTTCCTTATTCCTTCACTATCATCTAGCTCAACATATCAAACATGTCATAAACGTCTAAAGCTTCAAGCCAGCTTGTTCTCATACTCTGACTTGTTCTGTAAATTAGACTAGCAGCGAAAGCTTTTTCTGGATTAGTTTAGATAAGCAAGAATAACTTAAAGTGTTACCTTGTTCTGAAAATTAGAGAAGACTTCCATTTTTCTTGATGATGTAAACGTGATGAAGGAAATCCAATCTCTATTACACTACCATACCCAGACTCAAACTCCATTGTCTCACCACTTTATAAGGCAGTTATATTAGAAAGCTAACACAATTAATTGTAGGAAGTAGTCGATAGTTATACGAGTTCAAATCAAAAGATGCCATTATGAGCTGTGAAAGACATGTTATGAAAGACAAAGATAAGTGACCATAATCTGGGGTGAAAAAAGGAAAGAAAGAAATGAGCTGGGACATGCTATTTGTAACTATTAAGGTCAAACATCATCCATAGTTATTTTGATCTCTTTCCCTCTTTTTTCTTTATAACTTCATCAATGTACATTATGCCTTTGCCTTTGTAAACTTCAGGAGGCTTGCAATTACGGACAGCAGCAGCAAATTGATGCACCCTTTCCTTGTCAATCCCAGTGCAGCAAACTACGTTGTTTTTGAAGCAGAACACGCGAACTGCTGGAGGTACAGTAAGTTCGACCTCGTGGCTATAACCAAGTTTAAGGTAGAAGAGACGACCTTCTGCTTCAGCTCTGGCTTTGAAACCAACTCCAACAATCTTAAGAAAACGAAAGAATTTGGATTCCATTATAAGACAAATACCAATTGCCTGAAATTAGCAACAACTAGATTAAGTCAAGAATGTGCATAAACGAACAATCAAAGGAAATAAGAAATGAAAAAAATACAAGCTGACAATATCGAAAGTTCAAAATCAGAAAGTGGTATTGGAGCACCCAATATCATAAGATGAAACCTATGATAAATTCACAGCACATGCAAGCACGCATCAATGGAAAAGTGTAAAATAAGATAAAAGGATTAAAATTATATTACCATCCACATGGAGTTTAATATAGAGTTTCAGGTGTGAATTACAAATCTTTTTTGGTCTTAAGTCTAACGACTCCAAAAAGTGTTGGGAAATTGCACTTAGTTGGATTCATATAACTCTATATCTCATTTCATATGTCCACAAACAAACAAAGACATGCAAGATGTAGTACACATGGATAGACAAAAGGTTAAGCTGCCTCAAGAATGAAATTCCTCAAAATGCATCCTTATAAAGAAATTGAAGATGAGCTTCTTTATTTTTGCCTACCACTGGACCACCACTCCAAGAGGAGGAGGGGGTGGGGGGCGGATGGGGTGGATACTTTCTCGCATTTTAGACAAGGAAGCCAAAGAGAATGAGAGTACATCCTGTCAGAGCAATGAATAGGATCCTGAGATGCAAACATATGCTTCCAATTTATTGACTTCAAGCTCTAAGACACAGCAATGGAAAAGGATAAAGTAATTACATCACTTACTAAAACTGCTAATCCATGATCAACATATAATTAAATGCAACACATGTTTATCGACACAATTTGATTGCATGCCTGAGACCATTAAGATGTATTCACAGCTGAGATGGCTTAGCCCCCTGGCCAATTTGCAGGAGAGAAATGGGCCATATGGAAAGTTGACACCAATAGATATAAAGTGACCCGTTGATATTGATTTCTTTTCTTGTGAAAAACTTGGTAGCAATCCTTTGTTGAAGAACTTAAGATAAAAATTTAGTTCTAGAAATGAAAATAAAAGGTGAAAAATAGAAGACTTGAATGAGATATTTAGAAGGCAATTGATTAGATTTGTTCACGGAAATTCCATCATTTTCTCTAGTTCCCCTGTAGAGGAAGTCAGGAAGGAATAAAACACTACCAGCGCATTGCTTACTACTAATCATCCATTCTCAAACCCAACCGTCTAACTGCAAGCAAAGATTTCAAACATAGCCCATCTCAGTGAATCCCATCTCTTCTTATACAGCGTATCAGTTCACACAGGCATTCTACCAAACACTATATATGCAATTTGTATGCCCTAAACCCATATTCATAAAACAACAGGAAGTAATTTAGCAAGAAGCACCTGTATCTATTAAGAAAATCACTATAGTTTAACGAAATAAAATCAGAGAACAGGGCGAACAGAAAAAATAAAAATAAAAATTGTCAAAACAAAGTACCTGAATAAAAGTATAGCATTTTTCTTTTGCAATTTTCAAATGGTTAAACCTGAAAGAGTAAAGATGACGATTTTACCCGAAAGTTGTTTGGAAGATTTTCTTCTCTCTGCAATGTTCGCCCAACTATTATCCCTAACAGAGGATTGTGAAACAAATTTACCATAAAATAATTTATTTTATGTAAAAATTGAAAGACAGATGATGTGCTGTTCTGGAGAAGGGAAAAAGAGAAAAATGAAAGGTCCCACCGAGATTTGAACTCGGGTTACTGGATTCAGAGTCCAATGTCCTAACCACTAGACCATGGGACCATTTATAGTGATGCTCTTGAATATTTATTTATGAATACATTCTTTGAGTCCATGTTTGCCACCCATATTTTAAAATTTTTTTTACTATATTATTCTTTTCAACCACACATTCACATATTAAAATATTTTGTACGTAAACCTCAAAACTTTTTCCTACTTTTTATCTATTCATTTTCCTAAAAACGCTATTCAAACTCATTTTCTTTTTTGAAATAATGGGCTTGATAAAATAATTTTACACGTGAATTCATTTTTCTTACTTTTTAATGATACATTTTCAAAAAATTTATTTTTTACAAAATCTATTACAAAAAAATCTATATCAAACAGGCTGATAATGTTAAAGGTAAAATTTCACATCAATTAAACCCTCATTTGGGATCCATTATCAAAAGAATACATTTTTATCTATTTTTTTACTATACATTCTTCAATAAAATAATATTACACGTAAACATAAAACTTTTCCTCATTTTTTAATTATACATTCTTCAAAATATTAATATTTAAAAATACATTTTCCCCCAAAATGTATTTTTAATGGAGTCCAAACAAGGGCTAAGTATAAAGGTACAACATAGCATTTTCGTTTTAACATAGAACATCAAGCCTTAGTCCTTGTTTGAGCCCTATTTTTAAAAAATTCATTTTTTCAAAACTCATTTTTTAACCATACATTCTTCAACAAAGTAATTTTAAACGTAAATGAAAAAAATTTCTTATTTTTTAACCCCACATTTTTCAAAAATTACTATTCAAAAACACATTATCTCCCCAGAATGAAGCTCAAGGACTTAATATGTAGATTAGTATTTTTATGCTCACCTGAAATTTCACCTGTTAGATAAGCAAGTGATGACTTAAAATCGAAGTAGTTGACAAATGACAGGGGGGCTTTATTCATGCAAAAAATATGTAAAGAACATATTGGCTAGCATGAGGCAAGTGTTGCAATAATTGATGTGACTTACATTATTTGACCTGCAGAGATTGGTAACTTTCAAACCTTAAAAATATTTTGAAATTTAGAGCTTTTTATTTACTGTTGTTTTAAGCCAGTAAAATATGCACAATTAGAAGTCCTAATTTTCACTAAGGGGACTACACTCTACTTCATATGCATTTTTCTAATATACAACTAAATAATCTTTGTTAATGAAATAAATTGACTTATCATGTAGACTTTTAATCCAAAAGGAAGCTAATTTTCTCTATTGAGATGGAGTAATGTTATCTATTACTAGTAATATTTAATATCAATCTAGATTGTAGTAAAGCCTACAACTTACAATTAGTGATCGAGTACAATTACTCATCATTAATATTATCATTACCAGTCAAGATGATATTCATTGATCATTAGATTAATATACGTTAAACAATGAACCAGGAAATTCATTTTCTCCTAGTGACCCAACTATTAAATGAATAACATTATTCTTATTGATCACTAACTGTGAAGGTAAATTTCAATGCTATCTAGATTGGTGCTAACACCACCGACGATAGGCAGCATTACTTACAAAGATAAGAATACTTCATGGAATTGGAGTGTGGCTCAAATTAATAAGAATAATGCCCTGAGAACAAGACACTATTCATATAGGGGTCTTACACACCCCTCACTATAAAGCAGGTTCAAGTATTAAAAAAATAATAATAATAATAATTGCGTGGACCCCACCATTGTGTCTGCACAAGCCTCTGCATGTACGTGAAGCACGATTGAATGAATAATCATCATAGAAGCTATCATGCTATAACATAATTTGGGATCCTGTCTTGTAATAGTACACGAAATTAAGGAAGAAAAATAAGTTAGAAATATTTATGTGGTCGTCTAGTATTGTCGATTGTGTTTATAAACGTGCTCTTTGATCATACAATCATTCTTGAATATTACAATCAGAAGAAGAAATATTCAACAAGATTCAGATGGCCACTTTAATGGAACAATCATAGGACTATCGCAGTAGAAGAAATACAACTTCTAAAACATGGTGAGCGTTAAGCATTTAAAGCCCTCAACTTCGAGAGTTTATAGCTTAACATATAATCACGAGAGGTTGACGTTCTCGACTAGGGACGTCTGCCTAATACTCCAAAAAATACATCGTACTTCATCATATTTGCTTTGAGCTAACTGTGTAAAAAACCCGGTATGCCAGTATGGCCTAGTCAAGCATATAGATTCTAGATGCAATGTCTTGGACCAACCAATCAAACCCTTCGAGCAGTCCCTCCCCAGTGTATGCACTACATCCCACAATTCTCCAGTGTCTGGTTTTATCCATGGCATCCAAGTGGAGCACCTAAAAAACAAGAAAACGCACTTTCAAGTACAAAGAAAATACATAAAAAGGCTAACATGGGTTAGATGTAGAATATATAGGCCGTAATTCATTTAAACAGATGCAAATAAAATTTGAAGGAAAAGAATGACAGCAAAAATGAGATATTGAAAAGGCAGCTCTTAAAAAAGCGGTGGATGTGTTGCAAGACTCGACCCTTTTTTTCCCGCTCTCTACTCTACAATAGAAGAATATTGCAACCAGTGATTCAACAAAGTTCTGCCATAGTATAAATAATTATCAAGTCAAAGATGAAAATTAAAAATAGAAAATTAAAAACATATCCAACAACCGAGAAAAAAGGGAAAAAAAAAAAAAACAACCTCGTATCAAAAGCCGTTTATTACAAACAATGGAAACTAACACACAAGAAAATTCCTTACTGCTTAAAGACCAATGGACGTAAAAATGAGAAATAGGACCCAGAACTAGAGTGGACATTTATAACTTTCTTTCATCAACGTATTTGCTGGCATGTTGCACAAACACACAAGCACAGTTGATAATAGAAAATATATTAAGAGAGTATCCAATATACAAGAATTGTGCTTCAATCATCATTATAAAATATAATTGGGCTCACTAACTCCTCCATCATATGAGTATTGTTTAAAGACAATAGAAACTACCACATAGGAATATTCCTTACTGCTTAAAGAACAAATGACGAAAAATAAGAACAAAATTGACCCCAGAATTAGTGCAGAAATTTATAACTTTCTTTCATCAACGTGTTTGCTAGCATGTTGCACAAACACACATGCACGGATGATAATAGAAAATATATTAAAAGAGTATCTGATATACAAGAATTGTGCTTCAATCATCATTATAAAATATAATTGGGCTCTCTAAACTCCTCTATCATATGAATATTGATTAAAGACATAAGAATAAGATTATATTTTGCTACAGGAACAATATAAAAATTGCAAAAACGCAGAAATATTTGCAACAGGAACACATTATCAAATAAAAATTTACTGGATATTATTTAGCATCTACCCTTACTTTAGCTATTTCTTCTGGTGAAAGAGCTCCTTGTATATCCTGCTTATTAGCAAAAATCAACAGTGATGCTCCCGATAATCTCTGTTAAAAAATGACGGGTATGTTAAAACTCACATTACTGAAAAAGGACAACTTCGTAAAATAGTTGTCAGACTGTTTTCTCCTTTTTGTCAGAAAATAATGACACTTACTTGAAGAATAATTAATCATCAGAAATAAAGATCGCTGAAATGCACAAGGGAAAAACGTATTCCACGTGTATACTCATGTATGTCTGCATTCATTGTCTAAAAAAGGGTTTAGGGAAGCATTAAACAATAGACCCTTTCAGCTTTATCTTTACTATTATTTAGATCCTATTTCAATGGTATGAACCATTTGACCTTTAAAAGATCGATCCAGGAACCAAATACTTTCAGGTCGAAGACATTTCCACTCCACATGGGTATCCAATTTGAAGGACTATAATAATGTATTTCAGCATGGTTACAAGTTATAACTAATTGATTACTAAAAATAATTGTGTACAGAGCTCCTTGTGGCTATACAAAAATATTCCATTCAGGTTCCACAAATTCCCAAATCATCTTTGTCTCAATGGTAAAGCTTCCTAATAGAATATATATAAGTTTCTGCTCATTAGTGAGCAGAGCAAATAAACAAGAATTACAATTTTTTGTCTAAAGAAGCAGGACACTTTCAATACATTTGACCAACTGAAAGGTGATTTCTACGTTTCAATATGAGTATCCTAACTAGAAGTGACATCTTACAGGCACATGGACGTGAATATTAAGCCCAGATGATGGTTGACGTGTTTGATTTGGCCAATCTGCAAAGTTAAAAAGGACATGGAGACATGACAAAGTATTCCCAACTTATGTAGAATGGAAATGGTTGTCCTTAGTATCAAATATTCAACTTGGGCACTTTATTCAATTGCACCCATATAACCTATTAATTCAAGTTGTTAATATGGTTGTAGGATGCACGGTTCATTGGGAGTAATGGACGTGTAACCATTCTAGAGTGTGGTTTTCTACTCACAAAAATCGCTTCAAGTACCACATTCTCCATAATACTACCATCTCAAATATATTATGCAAACAACTTCCCACCCTGCCCCAGAAGATGGGAAGGAAACCTAAGCAAAGTGGATCAAAAAATTCATATCTTTAATATGATGAAATAATGATTCTGATTTCAGAATGAAAACCAAATCGGCCATCGAGAATAGTAAAATGCAGAAACTGCAGCCTCAAACAAAGGAATTAGTTTGAAGTTTGATATTCAATATTGTAATAAATGTAATGTCAGTCAAATGCGGAAGCGGTAGTTGTAAAGTAAAACCAAATACATCGTTGCCCAAGAGAAGCAAATACAGATCAAAGAAACAATATTATCCAACTACACTTGGATGCAATTTGGGGGAAAGGAGAGAAACAAGACCCTTAGAGAAGCAATAACCTCTAATCTCAATTTGCAAACGCCAACTTCATAAGAACATAAAATTTCCTTCATTCAGCAGACGGCAATAAGAGGGACACAACTCACATATGACTTTAAATTCACAGTAGTTTGATGCAAAATTCACATCTCCATTATGTTGCAAAATGCAAATACATAGGCTCCAGTACATCACAAAATCAACATCATATATTGATAAAAAGATGTGCCACTTCTTTCAGAAGATCGTATAATTCAAGTACCAGACAATTTTGATCCAAAAATTAAAAATAAAAATAAAAGACAAAAATGTACCTCCTCTTTGAGAAGATTATCTAACTCATGTTTACAATCATCCAGCCTCCTCAGATCCGAACTATCAACCACCCAGACTAACCCATCAGTCTGTTCAAAATAGTTCCTCCAGTATGATCTTATTGTTTTCTGCCCTCCAACATCCCATATATTCAAAATATACCTACCATAAACCCGCATTAATCCACAATCACGTAATAAAAACAGAAACTGCACCAAAAAAAGAGAAGAAAAGGCATACTTCTGGTAATTAATAGTTTTAATGTTGAATCCAAGTGTGGGACTGATTACACTGGTGTCTTCCCCGTTGATTTTCAGTACTATTGTTGTCTTTCCGGAATTATCAAGACCCCTTAAACAGTGAAAGAAAAAAAAATTCAACACATAGCAGTTAATATTTAAGAATATAATCGAAAAATTGACAAATATGTGTTCATACACCATAAGAATACGCATCTCCTTTTCTTTGCGCTTGATCTTCCGGATGATGCTAAGTAGACCCATTTTCGTTAATCAACGACTGGTTCTGATTCTGACCAACAAAGACGACAAGAAGAAATGGGATTCAGTTCACTTCTCAACTTTAAATTGGAATTGCAAATGAATAATTTACTGATCGCCAATTTAACTTAGAGCAAATCACAACTGGAGAGTGCTTACTGATAATGGTAGTGAGAATAGATATGTAGGGCTGAGGGTCGGAATCTCTACGCTATGTGAAAGGGAAAACAAAGGCAATGAATGGTGGAGGTTGAAATTTTACACAAGTGGTAATTAAGAGCCGGCTCATAATTTCACGAGTCAATCCCACTCGGCTCATGAAAAAAAATTATGGCTTGACCCATGGTTCATTTTAAATTGAGCCTGAACTGCCCATGGGTTGAGCTGAACAAGTTGAGCTCACAAGCAGCTCGACCCATTTGCCACCCCTAGTTAGGTTCTAGTTTAGGACACCACACCTAACAAATGAGAAATCGAGTTAAAAATTTATCATTTAATTTCTATCCTTTCTCGTCTAAATGAACAAAGTATTTTTGTATAAACAAGTTTTTCTTATGTTTTGGTGAAATTCACTTAACACATATTATTTTTTTAATGGATTATATAGACTCTATTGACAATCATGAGGGGTAGCTCAGTGGTCAGGTTTTAGGTTTGCTCCCTAATGGTCACCAGTTTGAGTCCCCTCAAGGTCATTGAGGTGAGTACCCAGCTATAAACTTCAGAGCCCTGTGGAATTAATCGAGGTGCCCGTAAGCTGGCCCGGACACTCATAGTTATCAAAAAAAATATATATATAGACTCCATTGACCACGAATCAAAATATCGCAGCATGTGTTTGGAAAGACTTTTAAAGCCTAAAAGCTTAACTTAAAGGAATGCTTCTACACGTACAGAAAGAATTTTGGCAGAATATATAAAGACAACTCACAGTTCTGGGGCCCACACACATTTTTGGCATTTTTTATACAGCACGGGAACCACACACTTGTCTCTATTCCGGTAGAATTCTATGAAAAAATTCTGTACAACCAGTTTTTTCCTAACTTAAATAGCAAAAGCTCACTTTTTGATAGGTCAATTTTTTATTTAATTATAAAAAGGCGATTGACACAATGCATTGATTTATTAAAGTATGTTCGACTAAACATAATTAAGAAGCACAGAAATATATAACAAAAATATTCATTAAATGATTCAATCAACAGACTAAATACATCAATTCAAAACTGATATCAAAAGTTCACAATCAGAAAGAGGTCTTGCGGAGGTTAGAATTCTTTCTCACATTTTAAACAAGGAAGCCAAAGAGAATAAGAGTACATCCTTTCACAGTTATTAATAGGATCTTGAGATGCAAACATATGCTTCCAATTTATTGATTTCAAACTCTAAGACGTAGCAATGGAAACGGATAAAATAATTACATCGATTAGTAACACTGCTAAACCTATATTAAATCTTAGCTTCTCTTCATCAACTATGATCAACACATAATTAGATGCAACATGAGAAAGCCACATTTATCAACACAATTTGATAGCATGCCTGAGACCATTAAGAACATATTCACAGATGAGATGACCTAGTCCCCAGGCCAATCAAGAGAGAAATGGGTTGTACGGAAAGTTGACAACAATAGATATAAAATGCCCATTGATAATGATTTCTTTTCCTGTGAAAAACTTAGTAGCAATCCTTTGTCGAAGAACTTAAGATAAAAATTTAGTTCTAATAATGAAAATAAAAGGTGAAAAATAGGAGACCTGAATGAGATATTTAAAAGGCAACTGATTAGATTTGTTCACGGAAATCCCACCATTTTCCCTAGTCCACCATTAAAGGAAGTCAGGAAGGAATAAAACACTACCAGCGCATTGCTTACTGCTTATCATCCATTCTCAAATCTAACCGTCTAATTGCAAGCAAAGATTTCAAACATAGCCCATCTCAGTGAATCCCGTCTCATCTTATACAGCGTATCAGTCCACACAGGCATTTTACCAAACACTATATATGCAATATATTTGCCTAAATCCTATTTTCCTAGGAACAACAAGAAGTAATTTAGCAAGAAACACCTTTATCTATTAAAAAAATCACTACAGTTTATTAACGAAATAAAATCGGATAACATGGTGAGCAGAAGATAATAAAAAAGGGCAATATGGCCATTTGGGTTGCTTCCCAAACACGTTCTTTTTTTCTTTTTCACATTGTACATGAAGCCATTTTCTTCCTATTTTTCATATTGCTTTTGTATTACATTCTTCTTCGACACAAGCCCTAGAAATCTGCTGCAACATATCCACTTCTTCTGCTACCTCCTCCACCATCAGAACCACCACCTTTGGCAGCTCCCAACTCTTTAACAGCTCGATGGTCCACAACATCCTATAAATATATGTCAAACCCTCTTGCCTGCTCGCTTTATTTTCGAGAGGACGTGAGGCCAATCATTGAACTATTCAGACAACAAATCTCTCTTGCTCTGTCTATTAAATCTGGTAGAGGACATAATGGATTCTCACCATGCATCACTGGGTCGACGAACCATACGATGATTTCTCTCATAATTTTTCTATATTGATCTGTAGAAGATCTTTGTGTTTCTCTTTTTTTTGCATCAGTTTTTTAATTTCATGTATTAGAGTGATTACATATGTTTTCAGTTGGAAGAAATTCGACAAAAGAGAGCAGAAGAAAAATTGATCAAAAAACCCTCGGGACCAGCAGCTAAATGCTATTACTTTTTTTGCCCTAATTTTATGGTAGATTCAATTAAATAATTTGTTCAATCTCAAGCCTTATCAATTGTTCCAATCTGGCCAAAACCCTACAATCTTTGATTGTAGCCCTAAACATAATTTTCCAACTATCTTTTTCAAATTTCCACCAGAATCTACTTCCCTCAACTCGAAATGGTGATAACTCGTTCATCCCGGCTAAAGCATTCCACATAAAAGTAATTTATAAAGAAATACTTACAGGCAGTGGCGGCGTGTGTCCGTCGGACGTGCGGCTGCAAGAGTGGGAGATAGCGGGAGTCGGGAGGAGAGGTAGAATACAAGGAAATGGTGGCAGAAAGCAGCGTCAAAATGGCCTTGAAAAAAAAAAAAAAAAAAAAAAAAAAAAAAAACAAACAAACAAACATGAAAATGTAAACAATAGCCAAAGGGTCAAAAGTAAGAAGAACGCAAGAGAAAACAAAGAGAGAGCGAGAAAAATCTGATCACCAACGTCACCTACGGACCGCTCAGATCGAATTCACTTCGACGATTGTTGAAGATCGCTATTTCTTAACAATTAGATTTGTTTCTTTGTAATTTACTCACTATTAAGATCTAACACATGTGAGAATTTGAATGTTTGAGTTTAATACATAAAATTTGAATGTTCAAGATTTGTATATTTTAAATTATGAGTTTAATACAAATTTTTATAGGTAAAATAGAAAGAAAAGTCGAAGTTGAAGTTGAAGTTGAAATTGAATTGGTTAAGAAAAGTGAAAAAATGGGACGGAACTTGTCGAAAATGGAGTTTTCCCAAACAGCGAGGCCGTCTAGATCCAGACAGGGGCCAGCAGTCAAGATCCAGATAGCTGGGCTGTCTGGATTGGTCGGTACCAACCATTTTTATTTATTTATTGAATTTAATTGTTTATAAATATTTCATGAATTATGTAAATTGTTTGTATAAGTAAAATAATTAATTGTTTTTTATTTCATTTTATTTAAAATATAAATAATTTAAACAATGAAATAAATATAGTAAACAATTGAATATTCAATAAACAATTAAAATAAATAAGAAGTTAATATAAATAATTAAATGAAGTAAATAAATATGGAAAAAAAATAAAAATAAGTAATTAAATAGATTAATTAAATATTAAACAAACAATATACATAACCAATTAAAACAATTAATGAAATATTTAAATAAAAAATTAAATTAAATATTAAATAAATAATTTATATAAATCAATATTTGTTTATTTAAATTTTCAAGTAATTACTTTAATTGTTTGTGTATATTATTTGTTTAATATGTAATTATTTATTTTATACTTTATTTGTTTATTTAAATATTTCATGAATTATATTAATTATTTATTTATATTGTTTATTTAAGTAAATAATAAATAACTAATTGAAATAATAAATTAATCGAAATAAATTCAATAAAGAAGTAAATTAAATATTAATTAAGCAATAAAAATAATTAATTAACATAAATAACAAATAAATATAAATAATAAAAATTAGTTTAAATAAGTAATTAAATATTAAATAAATAATTAGCATTTAAATATTAAATAAATAATTTAAATGAACAATAAATAAAAGATAAAAAATAAGTAATTTAAATAATTAATTAAACAATTTAAATAAATAATTTAAATGAACCATAAATATAAATAATAAAAATAAGTAATTAAATATACATAACCAATTGAAATAAATAATTAACATTTAAAATAAACAATTAAACATTCAATTAACAATCAAAATAAATATTAAATAAATACTAAACAGTTAGAATAAATAATTTAAATACATATTTAATATTGAATAAATAATTAACAATTAAATATTAGATAAACAATTTAAGCCCCCGTTTGTTTTCCATTTTTTTCCCCATTAAAATGAAAAATATGACCGTTATCCATCATATCGGGCCACCAAATTTGAATTTCTATCTCTTGTGTGGGCACATAATAACTATATTTTTCATTCTCATTTTTACAAAAATGAGAAACAAACGCCCCCTAAATAAGTAAAATAACAATGACACAGTTAGGAGACACATTCAGGGAATGCGACGATATGTCTGACAAGTTGAAGTTGAGGATGGTGTTTATACTGTAGAGAGCATACTGAGGTGTCATCGCAAGAAGACGTTGATCGATGTCTTTCATTTGGAAGTTGTTGATGACATTGACACATTTAACAACTATCCATAGGGACAGAACTGACAGTTATCAGCTCTCATCGACGATCCTGAGGTACGTATTATTCATTTGTAATTTTACGTTGTACGTCATTTCGAAATCTTAATGCATGATCATTAACTCAGTGAAATGTTAATATGTCAACTTGAAGTGCTCACTGAACTGACACCGTTGATCGAGGAGAAGGATCATAGTCATATCCCCATTGACATGTAGAGTAAAAAATCAATTAGCGTAGTGGGCCGTGGCCAATTCGGCAAGCACTCAGATAATTGTCCGATCATCCAAGTTTGGAAGACATTCTTCTAGCAGAAGCACACCTTATAGATAGAAAGGAAAAAAGTCCTAAAGGAAAGACCTCTACCGCCTTCCTCTGAGATGCAGACGGCAGACGATGGGATCGCAGACGATGGGATCATAGACAGTGACAGAAAGGGTGACAATGGAGGGCTGGGGATATACACAAATATTTCATTAAAATCGTTATGGATGTCGGTGGAAATGGGAGAGGTGCAGATGGAGGGGACGAAATATTTGTAATAATTGTATATATTGTAAAATTTATAAACGAAATATCTAAATAAGAAATTAAATTAAATATTGATTTTTTATTTAATTAAGTAATTAAATAATTAATTAAATAAAAGTAATTAAATAAATAATATATATAACTATATCGGAGAGGACCCCCAACTTGACAGATAATGTCGCGAGTTTGGATGACGTGACAATTATGCCAGAGAAGGCAATGGAAGTGATACCCTGTAAGAAACATGTTGTTGACGTACCAGAGCAAATGGTTAGCAAGAGGACTAAATTGTTGTTAGGGCTGGACAAAACTCCCGAACCTAACAGAATCGAACCCGATGGTTCTTCTCAAGTTAAATACCCGAACGGGTATTTGAATCAAGAACCGACGGGTATGGTTCGGTTCTAGGCCAAGACCCGAAGAACCGAATAAAAATCGAATCTTCGTAATTTTTTAAATTAATTTATTTTAAATAAGTACAATTATTTTATTTTTTCTAAATAAATTTATTAACTAGTTAATTTAGTTCAAACCACAAAATATGATTTTCCTATTTCTAATATTCAGTTCAAAATCGACTTAATCAAATTGACCTCAATTTTATCCAAATCTGTTATTCTACTGTAGTGTCGTTTCTACCGGATAAAATTGAATTAAAGCTCTATAACATTTCTCTTAATTATTTTGAGCTCGCTATCTTTCTCTTTCTGTAATTTTAATAATCAAATTTATGAAAAATTCAGCAAAGAGAGACGTGAAACACATAAGATTGAACTACGTTATTTTGTAAGAGCTAATATTAAATATATCATTAATTAAATTAACGTAACTTTGTATATATTAAAAAATTTAATTATAATACGGAACCGAATGGAATTGAACCGGATCGAACCAAACTGAATGGAACCGAACCCGAACGGTTCCGTAATTAAATTTGGACCCGACGGTTCCACTTACTAAATACCCGAAAATTTTGGTTCGGTTCGGTTCTCGTAAGAACCGAACTGAACCGGACCATGTCCAACCCTAATTGTTGTCACAACACATTGTTTCTCCGTACGTAATCGAGGCAAAGAAGAGAACATTCGTCGACGGTACGTTACCCATCCTCTTCCGTAAAAATCAACCCGAGACGATTGTGGAATCATCGCATTGAAGTTAGGACTGTAAATGGATTGGATATATGGATCGGATCAGAAAATCCGATCTGATCCGTTAGGAATAATTATCCTATTCGATCTAATCCAATAATCCAACGTATATTTGAATACTAAATTCATATCCGATTAACTATGTTATCGGATATTCGATCCGATAATCCAATCCGAAATTGAAAAAATTAGAAAAATAAAGATTTCATTTATTTTTTTCATTGAAAATCATAGTCTCAACAAGATTTTAATTATTTATTCATTTAAAAAATATTTAAACTATCTTGATAGGCTCACTTATTATATTGAGACCCCAAATTCATCTTCCATTAATTTCATCGAGTTCAGATCAAAATTCAATCCATTGATTCATTTAGTTAACGGATTATCGAATTCGAATCTCGATTGGGTTATCGATTTAAGATCATAAATTTATCTCCCATTAATTTCATCGGATTCAGATCAAAATCCAATCCATTAACAGCTCCAATTGAAGTACATTGAATTTTTAGCATTGGACGTGACGTGATAAACCAAACACACATTAATGTGTAAGCATTCTTTTTAAATGTAAGTGTTTTTTTATGTACATTGTGATCCGTAGATATAATAATTAAAAATGTAACCATTTTTTTGAAACGTTTGTAATACTTTAGTTTTTATTTAATTGTATAATAAATAACTAATTACTCTTAATTACATATATAACACATTATAAATAAAGAAATTTGAGGAAATCAGTAACATACTATAAATAGAAAGTACATACGATTTAAGTAGATATTACATATTCGTCGAGTCAATTTTCATGTAATCAATAACACAGTATAAATAGAGAAAATTGAGGAAATCAATAACATACTATAAATAGAGAGTAAAAAAGATTTAAATAGATATTACACATCCGTTGGATAGAGAGTAACATACTATAATTGAGAACTTCCCACTCCGCTTCATCTTAAATAATGTTCAATGTCTTGAAAATGTGATCGTGCCTAGTGTTTCACTTCCATCTCTATTAGATATTCTTAGGGATGTCAACGAATTGAGTCGAGTTGGCTCGCGAGCCAAAAAATTTTGCTTGAGCTCAGCTCGAACTTTTTTAAGGTGGCGCTTTTTTTGGCCCAAGCTTTACTTAGCCAAAATATTAAGGCTCGACCAGAGCTTTCGACTTAGGCCTTACCGAGCCGAGCCTAGCTCTATTTCTGGATTTTTTTATGCCTCTTGCTGCCTGTTTGGCAGCTATTTTTGTTGCCACCTGCTGCCTGTTTGTTTGGCAAGCCTCAAGTCGAGACGACTCGAACTTTTTTCGAGCCGAGCCATGAGCGGCCTGAGTCGACGAGCCTGATTATCATCTCTAGATATTCTCATGCACCGTGTAATTTATGTTTAAATTAAATATTAAATAAATAATATACATTACCAATTAAGATAATTAATTAGTGAGATATTTAAAGAATAAATTAAATCAAATATTAATTTTCTATCCGCACAAGTGATTAAATAAAGTAATGAAATATTAAATAAACAATATACATAACCAATTAAGATAATTAATTAATGAAATATTTAAAGAAGAAATTAAATTAAATATTAATTTTTTATTTGAATAAGTGTTTAAAATCAATAATTAAATAAAGTAATTAAATATACATAACCAATTAAGGTAATTAATAAAAAAATATTTAAATGAGAAATCAAATTAAAT